TCAGAGACTCTATGACGGTCATGAGTCTCTGAGGTGTCAAGCCGGGACTCGTCACCGAGTCAGAGTTACGTATTTCCGACTCGCTCAACGAGTATTCGTTGCCGAGGAAAATGATCCCTCAGAGATCTAACTCCAATCTCGCAGAGGGATTCAGTGAGCGGATTCCTGGATCTAATACTCGTCAATGACGAATCATCTTGCTCGCAGCCCAACTTATGTCGGTAAGGTACTCATCGATGGGCCTTCACAGCAGGCTGAGGACAGTTCGGTGAGCCACTTGGTGGTTATTGTGTTGGTCTGGTTCAAATGTAATGACTCAATCCTTGTCTGATAGGTTTCATCCGGTGGTACAATATGACCGGTCGATCACTTAAGGCACTAAATTCAGGGTTGTCGAAACTGGAAAATCAGGAAATTCTTGCTTGCGGAAATTCCCGAAATTTTTAACATGAGAACCAATGCGAGGAAATGAATTACCGAAATTCAATGAAATCGCGAAAATTTGGAGAACATCAAGGAAATTTCACCGTGGAATGATCAGACGTGGAATTTCGATGGGAAATCCCCATACTCCTATTCAGGAATCTTCCCTCATGATCAGCATGACCGACCCCACCGAGTGTGCCTACATCACCACCGACTCGGTGGCGCCGAGCTTCTCGGCCGTTTGAAACGGCCCGTTTCTTCGCTGATTAGGTTGATAAGAGGGAAGACAAAACTTCCACAGAGCCGATGCATTTCTTCACGTCTTTTGTACTAGCAATGACGGGCAGCGGGGTGCTCTCCAGAGCTGGGTATCGCCGGACTCTTCACTCACAGCGAAGTACTCGTTATTTTCGACCATCAAATGAGTTCCACTGCAATTTTGATGTGAATTCGGACTTCAGAAACGGCGTTGCGGTTTCATTGAAATCGACTCGTCTTGAAAAATTGAAAAATTCAACTTTTAACTCTCAAGTTATGGAGTAGCAGGTCGAGCATCTTACAAGTTACCTAGGATCAGTGGGTTCGGTGTCACAAATCGGAATCAACAGTTGATTTGTTATTAATACTTGCAAACTAGGTGGATATAATCGTGCGAGAAAAATCACATTTCCAACTTCTTTCTTAAATTCTTATCACATACTCGCATACTTCCAGCGTATGTCACTCTTACGCGTTGTTTTCCGCCTACCAATTCTAAATGCTTCTTAACACTCCAATTTTTCAATGCATTCCTTAATCTACATCGTGCGTTATTTCATCACGTTTTCGCGCACTTCCTGCAGTTAGGCGATTCGTGTGTTCACGGAGTTCGTGCAGATTTACAATCATCCGATGGTTACCATAATCTAACGTGCACCATCCTCCCATATGGTCTAGCGCCTCAACGTGGCGTGGGAGTGATACTAATTTGGAGTATGCGAAGCTCGACCGCTTATACCGAACTCGACATTCACCCAACGGGTGGTGACTGAGTGGCGGTGATTTCCCCTTGTCCCCCTCCTTTTTCTTTGTTGGGCTATCCGCACATCTCCTCCAGTAGGGTCCCTCATACTCGTCATCACCCCCCGGCGTTATGGCAAGCGTCCCCATCGATTCACCGTGGTCATCACCGTGGTCATGGAAGTGATAGCCAGTGGCTATCACTTCGACGACCTGCTTTCGGCATCGATTCCGGGGCCATCTCAGCGGTCTTCCCGTGGTCATCGCAGCGGTGGTCTGGTCACATTAATCCGCGACGATCTTACCTATCACGATTTGTGTACCATTACTTATACTGACTGAGTCAGTCTGACTCACACGATTTATTCTGTATACGTGACACAGTTGTTCTTGATGATAGCAAACATCCGTTATTACCGTTGTCAGTTATTAGCTGCTACTTTCGCCCCTCTGTCAGAATTCTAGAGGACTCTTTCCCGCACATTCCCACACAGCACTCTACTGGGAGACTTCAAACTCTGCAACAATTTTGCCTACTCGGTACCTCATTTTCTTCTCTATGGCTCAGGTTTGAACAGGTTCCGACCATCCTTCATCTCTACACCGGTACAACCCGAACTCGAAGACAAGTACTTCTTCATGCTCCTATACTCGACTAAGGAACTGCTTCACGTTCCACTCAAACTTGCCTAGCTAGCCACCTCCACCTATGATCTCCCTCTGTAGGTACCGCCTACTCTTGCTGTGTGGGATTGGGAGGCTCCCGTCCGCTGGTCCCGTTAGCTCTTTATCGACCTTTCCTCTTTTATTTCTGTCATTGATAGGGGATTTCACCGCCGCTCTTTACCACTCTAGCGTGCATTAGTCGCTGTGAGGGCGATACGCCAACAGGCGTGTAACGCCCCGGTAATAGGCGTTGCGTTGCACCGTCATGGTGCAGAGCGTGGGTTGGCATATACCATGGTGCCATCATGGTATATGCGAACTCACGCTCTGGTGTAATGTATTTTAGATTTTTGTATTCAATTGGTGTCTTTGGTTGCACAAGTTCCATTTACCTAGAGCATCTATCTCATGTTGGAGACTCCAACTCTCCACCGTGGATTGTTGTATATGGCCTGTGTTCGATATATCATATATGGCTCATGCGTTATAACCCTATTGGTGTTGCTCAGACTGAGCAGCTCAGTTCAAATTGATCGTGTTTGCAATGTGGAAAATGATGTATGAGGAGGTAGTAATATATGAGCAGTGATATACGGACGAAATTATGCTAAAAGTACACACCCCATTGACATAGTGTGATACATCGTTAGTGAATATTCTCGAGAAGTTTGAGTTATTCAATAATTGATGGGCTTTATCTAGACCTTTTCATTGACGCACTTGCACTTAGCCCTCCATTTCATCGTGCACTCGCCGAGTGCCACTCGGCGAGTCACCGAGTGCCATTAACGAGCGAAACATTGATCCCTGGGCAGTCCAGAAATTAAACTCGTAATCGTGGAAAATTATTAAGTTTGTATCATAACTAATGACACCTTGTGACTGATAAGGCCACTAAGTCTTAGTGACTAAGACGAGGTGGATATGCGCTTGCTATTTTTTTGTACCCAATGCTCCCACACTTCCTCTATGAAGCTCTCGTAGTCAGCTACAGCGGCCGGGGCCGCGTCTAGGCTTGGTAACGGTGGACCTTGCAGGCTTGCACGCATCAACTGGCTCAAGATTTCGCCAGAGAGCGGCCTGCGATCACTGGCTAACCTAGTTGTTGAGCTGAAGCAGCGCTCCACAGAGGCGGTGGAAGAAGGTAAACACATGACAATAGCACAGATCTTGCAATGACGCGGAAAGAGGGAAACAAGTCGAGGACTGCCGAGGAACGCTTTATGGAAATCGCAATCCTCAGGAATAGACTCCATAGCAAGTTGTCTTTTCACGAACTCAACCTCCTTAACCAGAGCCTGTTTCCAGGAGCAAGATGCCCCATCCAATTTCACTGCAACCAACGCTGCGGTTGCTTCGGTCCAGCTGGGAGCATCAAATCGCCCAAGGGTCATCAAAAAGAGGACATCCTCCTGAAATCGGGATCGAAGCTCTGCTACCAAGTCACCAAGGTATGGGGAAACCACTTGAAATAGGGAGGGATCAGACACACAGCTGCGGCGAGCGTTCGATGCTCTCACTTCTATCTTGTGGGATAGGTCGAGGTACTGGTCCTTGATCAGTCCTTCTAGTGCATCCTGACTGTCAAGCTCCGCTATGAAAGTTATCAG